GTTCTTATAATAGTGGTCTTATACAGTATTTGTCCTTCTGTGCCTGTCTAAATTCACTCAGCATAATAAGTTCTAGCTTCCACCAAGTTATACGACGTTTCACAGCTTCATCATTGTTCTTTATCGTTCTGCAAGAATCTTAAGTTTAGAAAAGTGCTATGATCCAGAAATAAAATGTATGGTATTTGCTTACATTTGTTTGGACATATAATAATTCAGAGGATTCATAGGATTGAATATTAGGTAATAATTCATAGGACTGAAGTGATCTTGGAAGTTGAGTTTAATCTGCTGTCACACCCCGAAATTTACTTAAAATTCCTCTATAGAATCTGCAACATCAATTTCCTTAACAATGGAAAACTCACTGAGCCTCAGAGAAAGTCTGTACCTCTGTTATTCTGTAAATTCAAGGGTCAGAAACATCTTCTTTTTTGAATTCGTGTGTGTGTGCGCGCGCACGCGCGCGTGCGCGTGCGTGTGCAAGCATATCTACATGTCATTAAACTGTCATCCCATTGAGTAAAATAAATTAAGGCCCCTGAGGCTTTTTCCTATTGCTACGATGTCCTAAGACAATGGGATATTTTCGACCCTAGTTTGAAATCACTATCATGTTACTAACCTTTTCTGATGCTAATTATGTTGCCCAAGATTTAGATTCTCAACATTCCAAGCTTAGCATCTTTTCCAAATAGGGAACTATACCAAGAATACCTTCATTCACATCATTCGTAAAATGATGAGCATGACTTTGTTAAGGAAAGAAGCATGTTACAGACTATTAGACACCTTTCTGCCTATAACACATTCATTAGCATGCTCTGCATGTGGGCTTCAACTACGTGTGAATCCATCTAAACATTTTATTTAGGCAATTTTAGAATATTCTATTGAATATCTTATACTTTAGAATATCTGGACGTCTAATAACAACATATTTTCTTTTACAAAATATGCTAAGAATTTAACAGTATGTTGTTGATGTTTGTCAAGTGCCGTCAGATTGGTTCCGACTCATAGCGACCCCACGTACAACAGAACGAAAACACTGCCCGGTCCTGCGCCATCCCCACAATCGTTGCTAGATGTTTAAGCCCATTGTTGCAGCCACTGTGTTAATCCATTTTATTGAGGGTCTTCCTCTTTTTCGCTGACCCTCTGTTTTACAGACAACACAGATCAGCGCACCCTCGAAGTGCACTGAAAACATGAAATTCTGACCCTGCAAAGCTGAGGATCAGCCCCTGAACCGTGGGAAGCCTTGGTATTCTGCTTCCGGGTGCAGCCCTCCTGAGTGACCTTTAACTCCTCTCACGCCATCTCTAGCACATCCTTTTCTATTCCATACCCATTTCCTAAACATACAGCTTTCATACAAGGAAGAATTAAACCAAATTTTAAAAAATAAAATGAAAACGAAGAACATATATTTGTGCTCTGATATTCTCACCACCTAGAAAAGATTCTTGAGCGCTAATTTTATTGGACTCTAAGCAACTTATTTTGTGAAATATAATATATGGCAGCTATGCTTTATAGCAACCTAGATCCATAACTATATTCAAGACATTTTTTTGAGAGTCTACTCATGGATAAGTATGAACTGAATATTTCAGGGGACTGAAAAAATTAGCAACCACCTGATAGCAACAACTAAAATAACTGATGCTTCTATACTGCTCATAATGTATCGGTGCTATTCTAACACTTTCAATTATTGGTTATTTTAGTTTTATAACATCCCTCTGAGGAAACTATATGATTACCTCCACTTTGGCGAGACTGAGACACAGAGGAATTATGTAATTTGCCCAACATTATGTAGTTAGCAAGTGGCAGAGCCGGGTTTCAAACCCCCATACAAGCTCCTTGACCTCCAGAAACTTACAGACTGCAAGACTCTTAGCTTTGGTTTGAAAGAGAGATTTGCTCTACTCATGTGTCAATAGAAAGGCATATTTTAAAAACAATTATTTGAAAAACTCAAAAAATTGTTAAATACAGGGCTAAATATTCTTGGCTTGCGCTATGGATTGAATTGCGTCCTTGCCCCAAAATGTGGATGTCCTAACCCCTGCACCTGTGAATGTTACCCTCTTTGGAAGTAAGGGTTTTCTTCTGTTGTGTTAATGAGGTCACACCAGAACAGAGTGGGCGCTAAACCTAATCACTTCTGAGTGATGTCTTATAGACAGAGCAGAACAGACAGACGCACACCTGGAGAAGACACACCACGCGAGGACATGTCAACAGGCGGAGGAACGCCGAGGGTCACTGGCAGACACCAAAAACTGGCAGAGAGACCCCGGAAGAGACTGACCTGGCCAGGACCCCGATTTGGACATTCACCCTCCAGATGAGTGAGAAAATAAATTTCTGTTCTTTAAAGCCGCCCACTCACGGTATTTCTTGTTATGGAAACACTAGGTAACTAGGACAGTTTGTTTGGGAGATGGGTTAAAAACAGCATCTTTGCTCCTCTGCATTTTGTCAAGCTAATTTTGAACATTTCCTCCTGTTCATCCTCCAAATTGCTCGGCCCTTTCTTAGCCCATGCTCCCTCTATTCCTGAATATTGACACACCCCAACTGCAAACTGTTTGCTCCTCCCAGTGTTTCATGCTTACCTACTTGCATTCGTTTCCCAGGACACCTGCGATATCCCACAGAATTACGGGCTTCACAGGAATATTCTCCGCTGTCCAGTTGTGAAATAGTGTTAAATTGCTATTTGTGGAGGGAAAAATAAACACATTTTTGAGCAAAAAAAGCTACAAGTAGACTCTCAAAATAACCATGTTCCTTGAATTACAGTGTAAAGTTCGTCTTTCCTTTTTCATGACTTGGGACTTTGCACCTTTATTGTGCATTCAAAAATCCATCACAACCTCGAGGAATAAATAGCTAGGCCTCCGATTGAATGTGACAGAGAAAGACTTGAATGTAAAGCAGTTTCTTTTTCTGTGATACTGAGGCGGCAGTTTGGTTAGGTTGTTGTATGCCATCGAGTCCATTCGGACTCACAGCAACCCCACAGGCCAGAGAAGAACTGTCCCGTAGGGTTTCCAAGGCTGGACTCTTTACGGAAGCAGACTGTCACGTCTTTCTCCCATGGAGTGGCTGGTGGTTTCAAACCACTTACCTTTTGGTTAGCAGCCAAGCACTTTAACCACTGCACCACCAGGGCTCCTTAATGGTTAGATAGGCAGTGGATATTTTAAAAAAAATTATAGCACGTAGTAGTATTAAAAAATTATAGCACATAGTAGTATTAAATATGCCAAGTGTTTCTAATTCCCAGGAAACACCTTGTTTATAAATGAATGTCTCCTTGGCCTGAAAGGGTTAATGCACTTTCCAAAGTTACAAGTGAGTTCCCTGAAGCAGCAATTACCATTTCCTCTAAAGACCCAGAACTACTACTAGGAAGTACTGTAAGGTCTAAGGAAATCTTACAAAAAAAAAAAAAAAAGTTGCCATCGAGTCAATTCCAACTCATGGTGACCCCACGTGTTCCAGGGTAGAACGGTGCCTTTCTAGGGTTTTCAAGGCGGTGACTTTTCAGAGGCAGATCACCAGGCCTTTCTTCTGAGTCACCTCTGGGTGGGTTTGAAATCTTAATCGGTGAGTTAATCGGATTATAGACTCTGACAGTTTAAGAATTTTTGAAAATTCTGAAAAGATAAAGTCAGCCCTTGCTCCTTCTACTCCCAGAGAAATTGAAAAGTGAGACTTTGATATAATAGGTGTCGTAGTTTTTACAAGTAGTTTTACCCCTTGGAGAATTTCTCAGACAGGAGGGAAAGACAGAGGGGAGGAAGAAAGAAAGGAGAGAAATGCAGCCAGTTATGGATGCCTTAAAGGACCTTGCCAGGACCAGCACAGAGGGTGAGAAGGGCGCTCAGAATCGCTCATTCAGTGTCTCCTGGTCATATCCTCAGTACTGCAGATCACTGCTGACCTCGTCCACGGGAGTCACCAACCTCCGAGGTGTCCCTCCTCATTGTCTTGGTTCCTCATGTAATATATGTCCCTAAAAGTAGCCAGGGATTTGTCTATTACCTCCATTTCCTCTTTCACTTTTCCATACCCACCACCTACTTTCCCTTTCTTCTATATACTTTAACCTGGTGGGATAAAAAGCTTTTCTCATTTATTGTCACTCTGAGATCTACTGATCACTCCCCAAAAGCCATATTCCATACCTTTAGAATATCCACCGTGAGCTCAGGGCCAAGGTTATGCATAAACAATGAGTTAGACTAAACAAAAATGACCTTCTAGCACATTATAACTGGTAATTAAAAGGAATTCATTGTCGCCCATACCCTGGGGTCTCTGTTGTTCATTTCTCACAAAAGGACCCCTCCTAGTTCAACCCTGGTGCATTCCTTTGGCATCAAAAGATATTTCAGGAACGGAGGCTAGCTGGGGAAAGTGACTCTGTATCGTTTCAGACTTGTCTTGGGGCTTTTAGCACCTGCTCCAAGAAAAAAATAAATTTGAAAAGTAAATATAGCAAAGTGTGATGGCAGGTTTTCTGCCCAATTTCTCCGTGTAAAATCGGTCGGACCTGTTGACTGCACCTGCTGACTGTGGAAAGAGCCTGAGACACGGCATTCCTCGGGAAGGAGCCACATCTGCCCATCAGCTTTATCACTGAGCCACATTATCAGTATGCTTTATTATTTACCAGAGGATATAGCTTCAGACAGTTATTGTGAGCTTCTAGATTGAGAGAATGAAAAGAAACATTACACCCTCCTTTTAAAACTTATTAATATTATTACCAGGCCTTTTAGGTTTTTTGATGATGGTTGTGATGATGACTTTGCATTACTGGAAGTCAAACTTTTAAAATGGACATGATATTACTTTGATCAAAAAAGCTTTAAGCTTAATGATTTTTTTTCTCCCACCCCTACCCCCATAAGTCAGAGATAAGAAAATAAAAATATTTTTATTTTAAAATGTCATTAACTTTAAAGACTTAATGCACAGATTTCCATCGATACTCCTGGAATGACTTTTCAATTAGGTATTTTAAAGAGGAGACAATTAGAAAATCTGGGCTACTTCTAGGTCTGGATGGCCCAAACAATTTGCGCTCAATGACTAACCTAAGGTTGGCGGTTTGAACCTACCCTATGGTACCACGGAAGAAAGGCCTGCAGATCGGCATCCGTAAAGATTACAGCCAAGAAAACCCTATGGAGTAGTTCTACTCTGTAACACATGGGGTTGCCATGAGTCAGAATCACCTCACCGACAATGGCTTTGGGCTAAATCTAAAGTAAAAGATACTTAAGTCACAGAGTCAATAGTTGTTGATCTAGTTGTCATGGAAGAGTTTAATGATCCAGACATCATACCACAGCTTGGCTCTAGTCATTGCTGTCACTGTCTCACCGCCCTTTGCTATAGCTAGGGTTGGGAGGTAAGGGGTGGGCAGGGCATCCCTAGTGTTATAAACGGGAGACTGCACTTAGCAACTTTCCAGGCCAGGAAGGTAGCTGTAGCAAACTGCTGCATCCAACATCATGAGTCAGGCTTGGCCTGCTTCAGGTCACGAGTGCAGACTCTGTGAGCTCAGCTCTCCAGTCCTTTCTATCTCTTTTCTGTGCAGCTACCACCATCTTCCCTGCAAACCCCCCTTTCCCCACTCAGCCAAATAATGTATCAATTCTTTATTCTCTGTCATTTTAGTTCTAATAATTTTTTTTATTCAAACGCAAGATAAGTCATTAGGTCAATGCTTGAAATGACCTTACCAGAGTTCCAGATTTCGAGTTCACTGTGTATGAGCTGTTGGTGCTTTGGGAGCCAAGTTTTGAGTTCCCTAGCAAACGGACGCCATCCTTAAACCATGTGTATTCAGGAGCTGGATTTCCTTCTTTGTCTTGACATCGTAGCTCTACCACAGTTCCTCTCAGAGCAGAACTGGGTACTTCACATGATGGGACTGCTGGAGCCACTGAACAATGGAAGTCAAATGGTAGTGGTTATCTACAAGCTAAAGGATTTTAACAACCAGGTAAATACGTATTTATTGGACACCTGTGGAAAAGACTGGCTGTTTTTTTCAGCAAACCTATTTCCTTTCTTCCTGGGCACACAGCCCCCTTGCACCTAGATGGAGCCATATGCAGGAGTCCTGGCCAATGGAATGTGGGTAAAAGTGGTATATGCCATTTCTAGGCCTGACCTGTACAAATGTCCTGCATGGTCCTCCATTCCTACTGCTTCTTGCCTTCTCACACTACCAAGAAGGTGTCAACACCCTTTGTGATCTTAGAAAGCCATGTATGGAAGACATCAGAACCTATATTACCTTGTGTCTCTAATGATTTACTGAAGCAGAGCAATACAACTCCAATCCCCCACTTCCCCACTACCTCTCCCCCAACTATAGACTTCACTTAAGTGAGAAAGAAACTTGTATTATGTTAAGCCACTGAGCGTTCAGAGCTTTTTTGTTATAACAGCGAGCATTACCTCAGCTAATCTTACACCTATTCCTTTTTAAATAAACATCTCTACTTTTTTTTTTTCCCTCTTACCAAGGGTTTTAATGTTTTATTATCAACTATATTCAGTAGAAGTCAAACCTAAGTATATTTTTCAGGCCTGTACTCAAACTGAAATCTCATTCTGTCTAGGCTGGCAGCGATTCACTGTCATTGTGATAATGAATTCACAGTGGTAAAGTTTCAGTAGCCTATGAGGAGATGGGGGAAAATAGCTAGGACTTGCAGAAGGGTGGCACTTGTGGTTTCTGTGACTGGTTGTAACAGTCACTGGTCAAGAGCTGTCCATGCTAGAGAATACCTGTTCTAGGAGTTAGGGCTATTCTGGTGCCAGGAATTTGTAAAGTAAACCAGACTTTACTAGGTGATCTAATATCCAGGAAAACCCAGATGTGACTGTGGTAGGCAAAATTCTAAGAGGTCCTCCAAGAGTCCTGGTCCTGGTATACACATACCTTCTCTTAGCTATTCAATCACACACTAATCTAGGTATGACTATGAAGAAATTTTGGAGATATAATTAAGGTCCCAAATCCACTAACCTTAAGATAGAGACATTACACAGATGGGTCTGCCCTAATCACATAAGCAATTTAAAAGCAGAGAATTTTCTCTGGATATTCACAGAAGGTAAAGTCAGAGATTCTAGTCCCAAGAAGGATTTGACTGGCTTTGCTGGGTTGAAGATAGAGGGGGCCAGGAGGCAAGGAATGTGGGAAGCCTCACAGAGTGGAGAATGGCCCCCAGGCTGATAGCCAGCATGGAAATGGGGACCTCAGTCCTACAACCACAAGGAAATAAATTCTGCTAACAACAAGTATAAGCTTAGAAGAGAATTTTCCCCCAGTGCCTCCAGAGAAGACTTTAGCCCAATCTACACATTGTGATACCTTGTAACATCTTTCAGCCTTGTAACACCCTGAGCAGAAAACCTATTCAGATCCACAGAACTGTGAGCTAAACAACTGTGTTGTTTTAAGTCACCAAGTTTGTGGTAATTTGTTAGCAGCAATAGAAAATTAATATACTAACCTAATCTCCTGCAGGGTTCTCTCTCTCTCTCTTTTTTTTTAAATTGTACTTTAGATGAAGCAAACTAGTTTCTCATTAAACAATTAATACACATACTGTTTTGTGACATTGGTTGCCAATCCCACGACACATCAACACTCTCTACTTCTAGACCCTGAGTTTCCCATTACCAGCTTTCCTGTCCCCTCCTGCCTTCTTGTCCTTGCCCCTGTGCTGGTGTGCCCATTGAGTCTTGTTTTGTTTTACGGGCCTGTCTAATCTTTGGCTGAAGGGTGAACCTCGGGAGTGACTTCATTACTGAGCTATGAGGGCATCCCAGGGCCATACTCTCGAGGTTTCTCCAACCTCTGTCAGACCAGTACTGCAGGATTCTCTTAATTAGATTTCTTCTATACTAGCACATCACTGACATTCCGGAAAGAGCCTGTAGGACATTAAAAAAAGGAAGAGGAATTGTTTTATTTCCTTTGCTTGAGACCTTCTACTAACATTGGTGAAGGAGAAGTGGTCATTTGCCTTCACTAGATTGTTGTCATGAGCCTTTAATATCTATCAGTGATTCTCATAGTAACTAAACATAGGTCAGTAGTTGTGCAAGGGAGCACTGACTTTGGCCTTAACTCCATCTGGATCCAAATACTGGTTCAGAAACTTACCAGCTGTGCAACCTTGGGAAAATCATTCAACTTCTATTTCCTCATCTGTAAAAATCAGGTTGGCAGCAAGGATTAAATTGCATATGTGAAAGGGCCTAACACATATTGGCTGCACCATAAATGCTAATTTCCTTTTCTGACCAATAATCCCAACCCCTCCCCTGGTCCTAGATACCATTATTATTATTTTATTGCTTTTCCATCATCTCATGTGATTCCATTTTATATGGTAGGAGAAAGACTACATATGACAAAAGCTATTGCAGAATGAACTCTTGGGGCAATGCTCCTATGTGCAGTGAAGGACCATTAGGAATTCCCTTGATCTTAAAAGAAGAGAGATTTTGTGATAATAAAATTGCAGTGGCAAAGCTTCAGTAGTCTATGAGGAGATGGGGTGAAATAGCTGGGACTTGCAGGAAGGGTGGCAACTGTGGCTTCTATTACTGGTTATAACAGTCACTGGTCAAGATAAGAGTGCCTTACTGGCCCCCAGGGCTGGGGTGGTGGAGATGGGGTGGAGGATAGTAGTCACACACACACACACATGCACATCACCTAATACTTCTAGAGTGACCATATCCTCTTCCAGGTTCTGGCCTTGCTCAGTTGGGGCACTAACTTCACAGCGATATTGCCCAGCATCACTTCTTGTAACATTTTTGATCCGTATACTGAAATCGATCATCTCAGCTCGATCTTTAAAATCACCTTTTAGAAAAAGAAAACAATGATGTTAATAATAGGGAAAGTAACTTTCTACACAATATCTTTCTCAAGTCACTTCATTCAGTGAACAAAAGCATTTATTTTTCTATTAATAAGCTTAATTTAAAAAATAATAAATTCTACATGGATGCTTCTTTTTTAACTTTCTCTCTCTCTCTCTTTTTGAATGTCATGCTATTCAGAAAAGAGTTCATTTCCATATTTCCATATTTTATTTTTAAAGAATTTGGCCTTCCTTCCTGCCGCATTCCCTCTTTCTAGGGCCCCTGTAAAAATATTCTTGTCTTCATTTGCTAATCCAGACTGAAACCACTCCTGAAGCCCACTTTTCAGACAAAGATTAGACAGGCCTATAAAACAAACAATAACACACATGAGGAACGTGCTTCTTAGTTCAATCAAACATACGAGACCAAATGGGCAACTCCTGCCCAAAAGCAAGACAAGAAGGCAGGAAGGGACAGGAACTGGACAAATGGACACAGGGAACCTGGGGTGGAAAGGGGGAATGTGCTGTCACATTGTGAGGATTGCAACAAATATCACAAAACAGTATGTGTACAAATTTTTGAATGAGAAATTAATCTGAGCTGTAAACTTTCACCTACAGCACAATTAAAAAAAAAATTCTCGTCTTCAAAGGATATGGGAGAGATTGGTTTAATTGACTGGGACAGTAAACTTTATGTGTGGTGGTCCACATAATACTGTTATAGAAGAAAAGGTGAGAAGCCTTGAAAACATTCTTTGGTTATTATTTTTCAAATATATATAGTAATATGTATTGAACTAAAATAGTGTTTTGTAAAGTGTGGCTGCCAGAATTGGCAGCTGTAGAAAATTCCAGTGAAGATGCTTGTACTTTTAGCATCTGGTAACCTGTAGCCTTGTCTTGACAGATAAAAACCAGAGGGATATTTTAAATTTTCTATGAGTCTTCCATGTTTTCACTTGTTTAAGTCTTTAAAATTAAACATAGTATTTAAAATAATTTTTTTTATAATTTTGAAATTGTATTTTTAACTTTAAGACTTTTTTATGTGGATAATTTCAAGCATGCACAAAATTAAAGAGTATAATAAAATAAACGCCAACATTACCTTGCTGTAACAATATCTGTCATCCAGCTGTAACAATACTCAAGTGATAGCTTGTCTTATTTCACCTCCACTCCTAACCACTGAACTATATGGAAGCAGATCTAAGACATTATAGCATTTTATCCATTGTTATCAACATTTTAAATTCAACGTTCATGACAAATTCAACAGGAAGAGTAGGAGTGGAAAAAATGTATGACAGCTTTTAAAAAAAAAAACACTTAATGATGGTAGTTGTAATTACCTTCCTGTCTTAACTCCCTAAGCTTCTCCGTGATGGCCTCGCTTTCTAGAAGGAGGTATGGAAGTAGGCTAAATTATTACCACTGAGCAGCACTCCTCCTCCCAGACCCCATACTATCTTTTCTTTCTTTCTCTCAAGAATTTAATCTACTGGGCCAGAAATAACAATTATATCTTGCACCCTCTGGGACTGAGCTGAGAAATGAAGGGTCCGGGAACACACTGGGGTTCACATATTTCTGACCTATGTCCTCTATTTCCGTGACTGTTGAGTTTTAGGTCTTAGTCACTGTTGCCTTCATCTCACACTTACAAAAACACATTTTTAGTAATCAGCCATGTTCTGTTCTCATTTGTAAATTAAAGGATCCAGCTGTACTTGGTGTTCTCTTCTCATCAAGTCTACAACTACTTACCTTGAAGAGCCTGTTGATAGTAGACAAAGGAGACACTTCGCCCAACTTTTTTCCACTCTAATCGGGATGACAGTGTCTTCTTTGGGTATTTGCAGGCTAAAAGAGCCTCTAGAAACAACAACAAAAATACTTATTTTCTAACTGTTCCTGTCAATTTACATTTAAGTAGGTAACAATTTTTTAAAATATTCTAAGTTTACCCCTTCAAATTTTATTCATTCATTCGTTCATAGATTACCTCAACAGGCACAGGTCGGCAAAACCCAGAGATGACTTGGAAGCATTATAGCTTTTCCACATGATAACACGTGGCACTACGCTACTTTCCCTAGTTCTCTGAGCCTGACTTCCCATCTATAAAACGAGAAGACACCTCATAGAGTTGTTGTGAGTCTGACAACACAATAATAATATGTGCAAAGCATACATGCCTGGACACAGTAAGTCCTTAACAAATGGCAGCTATGGTTAATTATTTATCTTATTATTCCCAGTCTCAGTCTTCAAGGAGTTCACAGTTTTGCAGAAGAGGTAGATAAGATCCTATAATCTCAGTCCAATGTGATGAGTGCCAGGATGGAGGTAAGCAGAGGGGGTTTGAAATTTAGTGCCTAAGAAAGGTGTTTAGTCCACCCCAGGCCATACTGTGAAACCCAGAGATGCTTCCCCAGCATGGGACATGCCACTCAGATCCCTTCATCGTCAACCCGCTTTTGTTGTTGTTTCCAGCTGCTGTGGAGTCGGCCCCGACTCATGGTGACCCCACGCACAACAGAACGAAATGCTGCCCACTACTATGCCATCCTCATCATCAGTTGCAGATTAGACCATTGTGATCCACAGGGTTTTCACTGGCTGATTTTCAGAAGTAGATCACCAGGCCTTTCTTCCTAGTCTGTCTTAGTCTGGAAGCTCCAGTGAAACCTATTCAGCATCATAGCAACATGCAAACCACCACTGACAGACAGGTGGTGGCTGCACATGAGATGCACTGGCCAGGAATTGAACCTGGGTTTCCCTCATATAAGTCGAGAATTCTACCACTGAGCCAAAGAGTGGCTTGTGGAATTGAACTGCCGACCTTTTGGTTAACAGATGAATGCTTAACCACTGCGCCACCAGGGCTCCCAACCCTCTCTATGGATGTGTTAATACAAACCTAATATGGTCTTCTAATAAACTTGATACTTACAAAATGATTGCCTATAACCTTACTTGGATCCCGATAAATTATTAAAAAGACTTAATCTTGGCATCAAGCTTAACTGAATCAATGTAGCGAGTTCACTAAGGTCACTTTTTTATAGGAATTTACTGCAGTGGTGTCATTAAGGAATTCCTGGAACCTTCAGAAGAACCCCCCCTGTTGACTGTCCAAGCAAGATGACCGAAGGGGGGAAACCCAGTGCCTGCCTGCCCACAACAGCTTCAAGTTACCAAATGGACACTTTTGGTTATAAATATTTTTCAAGAATATTTCAGTCTATCGAGAGTGTCAACTTCATATTCCTGAGATTTTTTTCCCCTACAATTCAAATAGTTTGATCTAAAGAGCAAACTGTAAAATGGCTGTTTGGTTTCTTTCTACTACAATGGGATATTTTTTCTTAAGAATCATGTAAGGAAATTGTCTTTAAAAGGCCTGCAATGATTTATCGTTCAGATTGAACACAGGATCTTTGGCTAGAAGATAAATTATGTTAAAATCCTTTCCCTACCTCTAATATTGTTGTTAAGTAAATTCAATGCCGTTTTTAAAAAGAATGCAGGGTATTACATGATACATCAAATGAGAGAGCAATAGTTATAATATAACCCCAGGTTTTTTGTTTTTTTTTTTAAAAAAAAAAAAAGATACACATAGGCTTGGGCAAAAAGCCTGGAAGAATATATGTGAAAATATTAACACAGTGGTGATTTCTGTGTGATAGAATAATGGCTTTCTTTTTTCTCTTTTGTCATAGATAGTTTTTTTTTAGTTCCACATGTACAGCTAGAAATATAGAAATAGAATAAAAGCTAGTGTAAAATAGAAAGAAGAGAGAAAAGAAAGGCAAGGGAAAAAAGAACAAAAAGTTTTTTTTCCAAAGATGCCAAAAAACGTTTAAGCAGATTTTACATTAAAGAAGAGACATCATTTTACAGACGTGTTTACGACTATGCTCCAAAGACAAATGTGTACTGGGGGACTTGTCTGAGGAAACAGAGTTGTGCTCTGTTTATTAAGGAGAATGGGTGGTGACTTTCCGGAGTCTGGAGTTTTAGATAGGTTTCCTTCCCGTATTTTGTTGAGTTTCCAACAATTAAACACACACCCACACTCCATTTCATTTTTAGCCCATTCGCCATGTCTTACTCTTAGGTCTTAGGAATAACTTCATACTCAAATAATCACATGGTTTATATACTTAACTACACACATATACACAGACATCTACCGCTCTGTGAATTCTTCCTGATTTCCGACCTCACTGCTCTACAGAAAAAAAATCTGCAGAAATTATATAAGAAAGTGTAACCCATAATCTTCCGAAGCCACGTGATTCCACTGCAGCCGCGCTCTCTGTGACCATGCAAATTGTGGAGACATGAACTACCCACTTCTTCCAAAATATATTGGGCACTTTCTGTGTGCCAGGTGTGGTTCTTGGGAAGTGTCAGTGAACAAAACCAAACTCCCTCCCCTTTTAGTTCTTATAACCTGGCAGGGGGAGACAGGCAAACGAGAAATAGAATAAGTTAAACAGTATGTTAGAAGTTGGTAAGTGCTATGAAAACACAGAAGAACAGAGTATGAGGAGATTTGAGAGTGCTGGGGAGGGGGCTGGTGCAGGAGGGTGACTTTTAAAATTAGGCAGTCAGAGAACTCTTCATTTAGAAGGTGACATTTGAACAAAGATTTATAAGAGGGAAGGAATGTGCCATGTGGTTCTCTGGGAAAGAGCATTCCAAGCAGAGGAACAGCCCGTGACTAGACCCTAGACTGGGACGGTGAGGAAGCCTGTGCAGATGAAGGCAAAGGCAGGAGGGGAGAGCAGCCAAAGTCGGACATTTCAAGGATTTTGATGTTGAGGGTTTTAAGCTGAGAAGTGATGTGGTTTGATGTATGTTTTAAAGGCTCACTCTTCTATTGACAGTAAATGATGAGGGGTCAAGGAGACCTGTTAGGAGGTTATTGTAGTAATCTGGGCAAGAGGTAAATGTGGCACAGACCAAGATGGTA